ATAAAGAAGGTTGCAGAAATCTTCCCTTTATAATCCTTGCCTGCATATCCTTTGTTAAGGTTTTTAGAAAGGCAAACAAACCCATTTTGGCCTGCAATCCCTCTTCCTTTGCCTCGGGTCAGAGGAGAATGTATTTAGTTAGGGCTCATTTCTGCAACTCTTGTATTGCCAGTGATCTGAATGAGATTACTCATGATCGTAAACCCTGCTCTCTGTACGGACTGCTGAATTCTGTTTATAAGCACTGGCCTCTTAAAAATAAAGCAGGTGGGCTTACCTAATTGGAGGCTCCCGCCTCAGCAAGTGACAAATGCTGAGTCAAGGGTGGTTTGTAATAAATGTCAGAAGGTCACAACATTCTGAACAAACCAAAGGAAATGCAGTGTAGTTGCTAGCAGCAGCAACAACAGTGAGGAATAGCCAGCATGGTGGTGAAACAGATATTTAACCCAATCCCTACCATCTGCACAGGCCTGGATATCACAAAGGAGTACGGCGGAGTCCGTTTAGGAGATGGAAGTATTGGGGCATGTGGGAAAGCTTTCTTGGCTGCTCCCCTCACTCTGCCATGGCCCAGACAGGAGTTGGGGTTTGAGAACTGGCACTAGGACAAAGGGAAAAGCTAGTGCTGGGAACAGTTTCCTTTCTCCAAATGTTTTTGGACACAGCTGCTTTTCCACACTCCGAGTCCTTGGGTACTTTTGGAAGGCCTCAGAAAGGTTACTGCAGCAGTAAGATACATTACATTTTTAATTACTTAATTTTATAAGCTCTGCAAGCTGGTGCAGGCAGAGATGAAAGTCTGCTCGAGGCACTTGCAAGTGTTATTCCAGGCAGTTCGGAATAGATTGTATGATACGCGGGGACTGGCTCAGGCAGGTTCCAACAAGCTGCCTGCGTTATTGAATGTTTGAAGATGCCTGAAGCTGGGCAGGGAAGCTGGGTCCCCAAGTCATGCTGCTGTCAGTCCACTTGTGGTCAGGGAGCGGCTGCTGGTACTGCCCCCAGGTTGCGTAGGAGCCTGTCACGTCCCTGTGATCTTAGCGATTGCTCTGGGCTTTGGAGCCATTTAGAGAATTGCTCTTGTTGGAGTTGGAGACAGAAACCCACGGTGGGACCCCGAGGCAGCAGGAGGAGGAACTGGCCCGGTCAATATGGTGCAAGGGTCTTCTGTCCCTAAGATTAACTTGTGACATTCCCAAAGTGCCCCTGCTCCTACTCCTGTCTGTCAAATCCTCTCTGCCCTAAGCACCACTGTGCTGAACCCTCGAGCGCCATCCCAGCTCTCAAACCTTCCTGACCACTCCCCTTCCAGTGAGATGCCTCCCAGCTACCAAACCCTCTTTTCCAGCTGCCAGAGTGCTCTCTGCCCCACCTGTTTTCATGTCAATGTCTAGGTCTGGGGATGGTAATTAGAACAGACTCCTTTATCTCCAAAGTTACGCGCTCTCTCCCCCACAGTGACTGTGGCATCAAGGGAAGGTGCTCTGCCCTTCCCAGATAATGTAAGGGAGTTAGAGCTTTGAGAGTACCTGACAATAGGGCGTGTAGCTATTGCTAGCCCCAGACAGCCAGGCTCTGCGCTTCCAGTGTGCCCTCTTTGTTGCAGTCCCACGGATTTCATTAGAATTACTCCTGACTTACACCAGCGAGAGACCAGCCTGGCCTCAGGCCTGCAGGAACTACAACAAGAGAAGTCTTGTGCAACGTTTTATTCCAAGGGTAGGTATTGCTTGGAGCATCTGCTCTGAAGGAATTCAGGCAGGTTGGTCTGCGCGTGGTCGGCACATGCTAGTCAGTCCGACATGCAAAGGAACGACAAAGCTGCAAAGCGGATCTGCTGAGTCTGATTGTTTCCACCAATGGCGTTAGGGAGATGGCATCAGCTCACCCAGAGGCTAGTGCAGGGCTGTGGCTGAGGGCGCTGCAGTGATACAATGCTGGGGGAAGTGCAGGTCCTTTTAGCTGGATCAGAGGTCCCTCAGTTGAGGGAAGTGCTGATGCTTTGGAGTGGTGGGTGGGTTCTTTCCATCGGTCATAGGTTTCACCCCCACTCTGGACTTTAGAGTACAGATATGGGGACCTGCATGTGAACCCCTAAACTGAATTACCAGTTTAGATCTGGTTTTGCTGCCACCACTCCCAAGTTCTAACTCCTTTCCCTGGGTAGCCTTGAGAGACTTCTTCACCAATTTCCTGGTGAATACCGATCCAAACCCTTGGATCTTAACACAAGGAGAATTTAACCATCCCCCCTTCTTTCCCCCACCAATTCCTGGTGAGTCCAGATCCAATCCCCTTGGATCTTAACACAAGGAAAAATCAATCAGGTTCTTAAAAAAAAGGCTTTTAATTAAAGAAAAGAAAGGTAAAAGAAACCCTCTGGGAGATAGCATACAAGCTGATCTCACAGACAACAGATTCAAAACACAGAGGATGTTTCCCTGGGCAAAAACTTAGATACACAAAAAATACCCTATTTAATTATTCCCTAATGCCCAAGACAAGTTACAAAGAAAATAAACATAAACCTATTTATTCCCTTCACTAATACTCACTACGTGATAAGAGGCTGATTTCTGGAGCTTTCCCACTCTGGTCAAAACTGAAACTAAACTCTAAACAAAGGAAACTTCCCTTCTTCCTTTTGAAACATCTTATCCCCCCATTGGTTCCTCCGGTCAGGTGTCAGCTAGGCTAGGTGAACTTCTTAACACTTTACAGGTAAAAGAGGCATTAACCCTTAACTATCTGTTTATGACACCATCCGAGGCTGGTCATAAATGCTAAGAGAGTTCGTGTTCCTACCAAATGGTTGCTCTCCGGGGCAGGCAGTAACTATTCAGATTGGGGACCTTTCTGGTACACAGGACTTCCCTCAGGAGCAGAGTTGCCACTGAGAGAGAGAAATGTGTCACTGCAGTGATGGACGCAGTCATGTACTTCAGATCACTGCCTCTGATGTCAAAGTGCTCACAGTGTAATCTGAGGCTTTGCTACCAGGATCTTCCCACAGGAATGACTTAGTGCAGTGGTTTTCAACCTGTGGTCCATGGACCCCTGGGGGTCCACAGACTATGCTTAAGATTTCCAAAGGGGTCTGCACCTTCATTTGAAAATTTTTAGTGGTCTGCAAATGAAAAAAGATTGAAAACCACTGATTTAGTCTATTAATTCTTTCAGAATCAGGGACGTTATATTGAGGAACAGATTTTACTTAGACCACATTGTAGGGTTTTGTGGGGGCAATGAAAGGTGCTGTGGTCTAGTGGATTGAGCATGGGGCTGGGATCCAGGAAGCTGAGTTCTAATCCCATTTGTCACCAATTTGCTGTCTGGACAAGCAGGGCCGGCTCTAACTTTTTTGCTGCCCCAAGCAGCAAAAAAAAGCGCCGCCCCCTGAACCCCCCCCGCCGAGCGCCGCCGGAACCCCCCCCGAGTGCCGCGCCCAGTGCCGCCCCCCCCGCCGGAGCCACCCCCCCCCCGCCGAGCACTGCGCCGCCGGAGCGCCCCCCCGCGGAATGCCGCACCAAGCTACCCCCCCCGCCACCCCAAGATTGGCCGCCCCTTACCAGGTGCCGCCCCAAGCATGTGCTTGGTAGCCTGGTGCCTGGAGCCGGCCCTGTGGACAAGTCTCTAACTCCTTTATGCCTCATTTTTTCCATCTCTGAAATAACTCCTCCTTACCTGCCTCTCAGGAACTTGTAAGGATGACCGAGTCATTGCCCGTCAAGCACTCTGCTATGTCAATGCTAAGGACTGTGTTCTCTTGAGTCTAAATAGATTTTAAAGTTACTTTGTTGCTAAGATGTAATAAGAGTAATCGAATGTGATGATTTAGATTTAATATTCAAAAGCTGTGTGAGAAAGCGCCTGCTGCTCTCTAGCAGAAATTAATGAGTTTCCTCCATTCCCATGGCTGTGCATTTATCACTGACAGTGCTGCTGCTGCAGACACAGGAGTAAACAAACAGCCGCCTGCCCGCCACTAGAAATGTGGCACCTCGAGTAGTGCGTGGGAGGGTGTTTGCAAGCGTCTCAGAGGTGTGACAGACCAAGGGAACATCTGGTGCCAATCTGGAATGACTAGGGCTGGGTTGTTGGCTGGTTTTCTTCTAATTTTGAAGGCAAAGGGCAGGCTGGATAACTGACCCCTCCTTTTACTGGTGGGGTTTCTTCTGAGAGCCCCACTCTAAGTGGCTATCCACGGCCATGCCCAACCGCCATGCCCTGGGCAGAAGAGGCTGGGCCTGCCCATAGAAAAGGGCTGGCTGCTCTTTCAGAGTGGCCCAGACTTGGTGGGGGCTGGAGGAGCCGCCCTGTGAGGGTGGGAAACAGCTGCCCCATTCCTCAGTGGAGAGTCCCCCCCGCTGGGCTGAGGGGCAGGGCGAAGGCACAGGAAGGCAGGGGGAGGCCATGGGGCTAATGAGGAGCCTCCCTAGCAAACAAAGACAGCTACAGGTGGGGGGTAGGGGAGAGCACCTAGCAGTAGGCAGCACTCCTGCTCCCTCCCACAGGGTCAGCCAGCACTAATTTACCCACAGGCAGTTTCCCTTTGCCCTCCTGGGAAGAGAAGGAGAGGAACAGGAGTCTGTGTGTCTTGCCCTGGGCAAGTGTCCCCCACACCCGCCACGCTCACACCAGGAGTAAGAAACCCCCCAGGTCAGCCACGTGCCCATCCTGCCCGTCCCTCTGAGTCATGGCAGTGCCACGACAGCTTGGCACATAACCAGCTCCTTCCAGCTATTCTCTTTGATAGCCAGCTCAGAGCATTATGCATTGCAGGGCCTCTACCAGCCCAACTGTTTATTGGTTTGCCAGCAGTGCAGTGCGCTCCTCTTTAACACAGAACAGAACTAGTGGGAGCACGTGTCAGATATACACAGCCAGACTGTCCCGCAGCCTACTGCAGTGCCCCTGCTTGCTGATTAGCCTCTGCCACTCTGCATCATGCCAGGTGTCAGGAGCCTTTGGGTCAACTTGTTTTTTCCTCTCCTTAGTGCCTGCAGTCCATTATTCTAGCGTGTTTCGGAAGTGAAAATTTCCACCTGGAAAAGAAGCTGGTGTGAGGTCTGGAAGTGGTTTTACCAGGCAACCTCCACTGCAGATGGCCATTGCTCATCCAGTAGGTGTTTAATAATTACACTTGGAAGGATTAGATTTGTAATGGTGAATGTTGGTACACGTCAGTTTCACAGTACACACACAAATTGAGGAAAAAGTATTTCCAGCAGTAATAATCAAAAAGTAAGAAAAACGCCACTTGAGAACTTCTGAGCATTTAGGGATGTTTCCATTGTATATTTTGACACGTGATCATGCTAAATTGGGTTTTAATGGTTATAGAGCTTTAACTTTCTGACTTTCAATGTCTACTGCCATTATATCATTATTGTCTTGCTCCCTTTCCCATAATGTTGATGAACTGTGAAAAAAACTAAAAAATGGATTGAAAAGAAACATCAATATTAACTGTCGAAATGATCAAAATACACAAACTTTTGCCAAGCCTATTAATAATGTACCTGTAGAGAGTGTCGCATCACTTACGCTTTTTTCCCCAGCCATCTGAGGAGCAACTGCCATCTAAACTCTGCTAATTGCCTCTTTTTAAGCACTTTTGTTGAAGGCAGCTGACCTGGGCTGAGGGGCGGGAGAAGGTTGGGATTGGGGCTGGGGGGGATGGGTGAGCTGTTACTCAGTTTGTCAGGAATGAAATGGAGCAGCCCGTTTTACCCAGGGCAGTGGGGAGCAATTTGAGTTCATGCACTGTGAAATCAGAGCCATTTATTGTTCTGTGCTCGGAAATGCATTTTGTGATGCAGCTTAAAGCAGGGCATCTGAACAGAGCCCATTTCAAACCTTCCTCAGAGGAGGCTGTGTAAAAATATAGCCCTGTTTTCCTCCAGCTGGAGATGATTTAGGATCCCCTGCATTCTTCCTTGAAGTGCTTTGGAGAAAATAGAGGGATGAAAGTTTAGAGACTATCAACTCACTCTCTTCCCTTCCCAACCCCCACCCCAAAGACTGAGGAGCTGGTTCAAACACACAGCAAAAGAACAATACATTGGAGTCCCTGACTGTTTTGCTTGGTCAGAGGTTCCAAGACTCCAGTCTCTCCCTTCCCATGCTTTCCCTGGGATCCTTCACTGAAAAGAAGTAGGTGCTTTCTAATCAGTAGAGAAAATGTTTAGGGTTTTATCGTTGCTGCTTGTTTTTCCTCCTTGATGTACACCAGAATTCTCATGCACACAAGACAGGCATGATCCCCTCTGTTTCTTGTCTTCTGCAGTGTGAAACTGTGCAGTTTTCCTGGCCTTAGCTTTTTGCATTGATGTCCCATGCTTCCTTCTCAGGCGAGAGGGAAAGCCTTATAGCAGAGTTGGCTTTTTTTTACCACCTTCCCCCCCCCCCCCCCCCGCAATTTCCTGTCTGTAAATATTCCTGCAAACTGTGAGTCAATGTCTCAGCTTTGTATGAATATGATCTTGAGGATGTGATGGAAGGTTTTGGACCATCCCCTGCCATGCTCATGTGAATGCGGTGCATTTAAGATCCACACTGGCTGCATGTCTTATTTTTCTCTGTCATCCCTCCCTCCTTCCCCCAAGAAAATGTCTGGTCTTAGTTTCTGGCAGGAAGGAGTCACTGCTATTTTTCCTTTTGCTGATGCTAATGTAGTTCCTGATGTCTCTTGTATTGAGTAGCTTGCTCTCATGCTGCTCCTTTCTCCTGTTCTCTCCTGTAGGTATCTGACCAGCTTCCCTGGTTTTTGATGCGGAAGCAGGATTGTTTTAACTAAAGATGGAAACACTGGAGTCGGAATTGACCTGCCCAATCTGTTTGGAGTTATTTGAAGACCCTCTGTTGCTGCCGTGTGCTCACAGCCTGTGCTTCAGTTGTGCCCATCGCATCCTGGTGTCCAGCTGCTCCTCCAGTGAGTCAATAGAGCCCATCACAGCATTCCAGTGCCCTACCTGCAGGTATGTCATCTCCCTTAACCACCGCGGCCTAGAGGGCCTCAAGCGGAATGTGACCCTGCAGAACATTATAGATCGCTTCCAAAAGGCTTCTCTGAGTGGCCCCAACTCCCCTAGCGAGAGCCGCCGAGAGAGAACGTACCGCAAGAGCCCTGCCATGTCCAGTGAAAGGATAGCGTGTCAGTTCTGTGAGCAGGACCCACCGCGGGATGCGGTGAAGACCTGCATAACCTGCGAGGTGTCCTACTGTGACCGCTGCCTCCGGGCCACGCACCCCAACAAGAAGCCGTTCACCAGCCACCGCCTGGTGGAGCCCGTGCCAGACACACACTTCCGAGGACTCACTTGTTTGGAGCACGAGAACGAGAAAGTGAACATGTACTGCGTTGCAGATGACCAGTTGATCTGTGCCTTATGCAAACTGGTGGGACGCCACCGGGACCACCAGGTGGCATCGCTGAGTGATCGATTTGAGAAGCTCAAGGTAAGAGTCACTGGCTTTCCCGAAACGAGTGGTGTGAACTGGGGAGGGTCCTTCGCAGCTTGCTGGGCTCGCACGAAACCAGGGGTGGCCGAATTGTGCAGGAAACGGAGCAGGTGCCAGCTGGGAGCATGATGAAGCATTGCATGCTGGGAGCTGCAGTTTCAGTGGGCCTCAGCTCTATGGTGAAGTGTCATGGGTCAAATGGTGGAACGCTGTGAACTGTTGCTCTTTGGCCAGTGGCAGAGCCCTAGTGGCAGAGCCCTAGTGCCACGAGGAAGGCTGCTCCTTGCTGGGAGTTGGACAGCCTTCCTTGTAGGGACCATGGTTTTCCAGTGGAGTATTTTCAAAGCTAAATCAATTCCAGATGTCCTAGTCAGTCTCTTATTTACACCTAACTAACCCTCCAGGCTTTAGAAGGTCCATAAGTTAATGAAAGCTGCACGATCCTTTAGCGGCGAGCTCTCCAAACCATTGGCAGCTAGAGGGTTAAGCGAACCACATGAGTGAGAGATCCTGCTTGTATGATTGCAGGAAAGTTGTTCATTTTCTGCTGATCTACATGTCACGAGTTCAGTCCTCAGGCATGCTAACAAAACCATAGAGCCCACAAAGTACAGAGCAAGACTCCCCGTGCCCCAAATTACAGGGAGTCGTTGTGTGTAATAGAGAATGCAATGGTGGTTCTGGGCAGCAGCACCAAGAATGTCCGCGTAATAGAGGGTGCAGGGCTGGTTTGGGGCAATGGGCGTGGGTGGGGAGGGGGAGCTTCAGGGTAATGGAGAAGCCAGTACTGGGGCTAGGCACTGGGTGCAGGGACTTATGAGATCTGGTGCTGGCTGTGGCTAGTGGACCCAGGAATCTCAGGGATTTGCTTAGTATTTACTGTGCAGATTCTCCTACTGAAAAATCTTCTGTGCACGTCCCTGCAGATTTCCCAGGTCCTGGATCTTCCAAGCTGCTGCTCTCTCTGCCCTAGCAATGGGTCCTGCGTGCAGACCCTTTCTATGTCTATTGGCTGGCTGTAATTTCCGCAATGAAGGATTATTGGAGATGGGATGTGTCTGACTCGACACAGATCAGTGGTGAAGTGCCATTGAAATTAGAGGTGTACTCTCCCCCTGATTCACTCCCTGCAGTGGAAGTGATTCGGGGGTGCATCTGTTCCCTCCCTGATGCAGGCATGTAGTGTAATCCCCCTGAATGGGAATTGTGTCTGCACGCATTGCACGTGAGGAAATGTCCTCCTATCTTTCTATATTTGAAGCTGGAATCCCAGCTTTGCTCCCAGGGCTAGATGGGACCTGTGTCTTCCATCTGGGACTGCAAGGTGAGCTGGACTAAGCAGATCATCTAGGGGCACTTTGCCACAAACAGCAGATCCCGGTCCAGGTGTGAATATGGTGGCGTGCATTTAATTGTGGTACAGTAATGACTATACAAGTTAGATTTGGCCCTCAGGCCCCAGGCAGTTTGTCATTGGGGGGGCTCCAGGGTTTCTCGCTACATTGGCCAGGCCCTGGATTAAAGTTCTTGGTTTATTAACCAATGGGAGCCTTGTCTCTCTGTTTTGCCTCAACCCACACTCCCATTCCCCCTCTATTCAGTGCCTGGTTACGCGTGCCCAGGTTCCTTAGTTTCTCTGCACTGAAGAGATTTGGCAGCCTTTATTTATCCCATAAAGACAAAAGTCTTCTGTTGCCTTTCTTTGTCTCTGGGGGTGGCTGGTCTGTCTAGCACTAGTGGGGGGTATTACTGCCAGCTGTCCCCAGGTTGGCTTGTCCAAAGCTTTGTTGGGGTGACTCCACGATTGGCTCTTGTTCCAAGAGATAAGGCCCGGAAAATGAAGGTTACTCAATGGCACTTGGTCAGAACACACACACTGCCCAGCGAATAGCTGACTGAATGCTGAGGTCAGTAACCTATCTGGCAGCATGGCTGCATCTCCCTGCTCGACTGCCTTCCTTTCTGCTCAGCCCCTGTAATCTCCAATAAGCCACCAGCTCCTCTTTATTAGAGGCAGAAAAATGAGCAGATGAACCTGTCAGCTAGACTTGCTGCGAAGATGGCAAGGGTTGGTTAAACAGATCGCAGGGTAGGTTCCTTCTCCCTCCCCGTGTGTCTGGCTCTTCAGGAGTTCTGCCGACTCCGTTCGTAGGAGCAGTGCTGACTGTGGTGGAGCTGAGCTCCAAAGGCCATGGCAGAATTCCTGGGTTCAAGTTGCTTGCTTAGACTGCAGGAAATGCACAGGGGCCTGGGAGAAATCATGAAACCAAGGGTGCCAAACCCAAGAGGCGCTGTGACCAGTGGGCCAGGTCACAAAGCCCAGAGCCACCACTGCAAAGTGATCACAGCTCAGTCTCTCTCTAGCTAGCCCTGGGCCCTCCCCTCCACATTGGGCCAAGATCAGTGCTGGGGTGGAGGGTGCTGCTGCAGGTGATTGGTGCCGCCTGTAGCTACAGTATAGTGCACCCATTGAATCTGGAGGCTCCGTCCGCCCCTGGGAGCTCTACTCTAATCTAGCCAGGCTGGGCTGGAGGCACAATAGGAGGGGTAGACATCCTCACTGCAGAGACTGAAGCCTATGTCAGTGTGGCTGAGGAGCCCTGATCAGATGGGGTGAGCTAACCAGCCTTGTACGATGCAGTTCATATGAGTCTGTTTCTGTGGATAACGGTCCTGGGGCCTGATGCTTCCAGGCGTGGCGTGTTCTGTCCAGCTAGCTGTGATGTGCCCTGGGAACTTCCCTTTCCCCAGCTCCTACTTCTGACAGGTACTGACTGCATGCTGCTCATTGGCCCCGTCAGCTCAATCCTGACAGCATCTGTCCCCCTTCCTCTGTCGGTCTCCTGCTAACCGATGCCATTGCAGGATCTGCGCTGGAGACAGCCTCCTCCGGCAGTACCAGCAATAAACTCCCCAGCACCATTGAAGCGCACCAGACAGTCTCCCCTCTCCTGGCCTTGTTGGCCAAAGCTCTATATCTAGCCATCTGTCCCGGGCTATTTGGGCACCTATTTGGGGCTTTCAGCACCACAGCTCCCCTGAGGCACGAAGTGCTGTTACCCCATCGTATAGTTGCAGAAACAAGCAGCAGGGGAGATTAAGTGACTTGCACAAGGCCTGTGGTTGAGCTGGGAATTGCCTCTCCTGTGACCTGTCCGCTGCACCATCCTTCCTATCCTCCCATCTCACCTGTCTCTGCCGTATAAGGACTATTTATCATTTTCATCAGCCTTCTTTTCCCTCCCTCCCCACCTCCTCCCAGTCCCTGCAGAGATACGCCTGGAAGTAGCCTCAGGTGTGTTGCCGCCTTGCTCTCTGTGGTAGCCTGTGTTTTCCAGCCGGAATATCCCCCACAGTGAAGCAGCAGAAATGGGTGATCATCCCCCCAACACAAGTATATAGCATGTGTTTGATCTGAACTGAATTACTGTTCTGTGCTCTCCAAGTTGGAGAGATCAAACTTCCTGGAATACTTCCCACAGTCCCTGAGGAGTACTTTGAAGCCTGATTTTTAAGCAGCACTAGTGGCTCCACTGAATCTGAAGTGAACCTGAATGGCTGATATTTGACCTATATACAAAATATAAAATTAGAAATCTCTCCCCCCTCCCCCGATGCAGTCCATGTGAATCTGCAAAATAGTTTTAATTAATTTTCTTTTCAGAAATCAGTTAGTCAGATTTCCATTCGAACCCTCTTTCACACGCTCATAACTTTTTCATCACTTCTCTTTCCAGTTGAAATTTTCCAGGCTTATTCTCAGCCTGAAGATGATTTCTTTTTTTAAACATTTAAGCAAAATCAATTCACCTGCTTTTGTTATGTGAGGGGGCAGGAAGAAATACGTTTCCCTCTCTAGCAAAACCGCCAGGCACTCTTTCATGCACAGGTTAGATTTCTAAATAAAAGGACTGATGATTGGACAATGAAACTTTCCAGAAGTCTTGTCCTAACTGAGGGCTATTCTCCAGACTAATTTGCATAAACAGAAACAAACACTAACCACAAATTGTTTAAATTTACTATTTTTGCACATTTATAGTATGAAAATACTGTCTAAGGACTATTGGATAACAGAAATAAATGAAATGGTAGCAATTGAAACAGTCAGCATTTGTCAATGGCAACCCCACATTGGTGATGCTGCCTCAGTTTCTTATTAAAGTGTCTCAGATACCACTGTGATAAATAGTGATGTTTAGTGGTGACCTCTGCAACATAGGTACTGACTCTGTGGGTGCTCCAGGGCTCAAGCACCCATGGAAAAAAATAAGGGGTGCTCAGCACCCACCAGCCAGATCTGTTGGGCGGGGCTGCTGATCAGTGGCTTGGCGGCTGTCAGACGGCGCTCAGGGGAGGGCGGAGAGCAGCGAGAGCGGAGCCGGGGCGGGAACAGGCAGAGCGAGGATGAGGCCTCAGGGGAAGGGACGGAGTGGGGGCAGGGCCTCAGGGTGGAGCAGGGGTGGAGCACCCTCTGGGAAAAATAAAAGTCAGCGCCTGTACTCTCCAATATTGTAGTTTCCTAGTTCTGTAGATGTTCTTTGTATTGGTGTTTCAATGCAGCGTTCTGTTTGGGTCACAATCGCTTTGGGGAAGAAGGATAACAGAGGCTCCCCTGGAATAGTACTTGGGGTCTGCTACTGACCACCAGGATCAGTATATGGCTATGGATAGAGATCTCTTTAATATTTTTAATGAAATACTACTGGAAATTGTGTGATTACGGGAGACTTTAATTTCCCAAATATAGATTGGAGGGCAAGTACTACTAATAATGGTAGGGTCCAAACATTCCTGGATGTGCTAGCCGATGTATTTCTTCACCAAATAATTCCTAAATCAATAAAAGGTGATGCCATTTTAGATTTAGTATTGGTGAGTAGTGAGAACCTCATAGAAGAACAGGTTGTGAGGTCGGCTTTGGTTTGAGTGATCATGAGCTAATTCAGTTTAAACTAAATGGAAGGATAAATAACAATAGATCTGCAACTAGGGTC